TGGCTTTGATTTTGAGCCATGAATGCAATGGAAGAAAAAAACAATGAGAACCATAACTTCACTAAATAATTAGCACTCTATTTTCACTTGCTTAGTTTTAATTTTTAAGGCTTATTCACCATGAAGATTGTAGAGTTATCGAGTTCTGCAAAACATATGATAACACATCAGTAGATTCTGTCAGTTATTTCATGATGAAACACAAAATTTAAATCTAAAATACAAAGTATGTTGCAAAGAAGGTGAAATTTTTTTAGTGTAAATGACTTTCAAATGAGTATTTTTAATGGGGACATTCCAATAAAATTTTTAAATGTGAATTTCAGTTAACAAAAGAATTGTTCCTATGTGATAGAATTAGTGCTATTGGTATTCTTAGTTTACAAATGAGAAAACAGAGCCTTATCTTTATGGATAAGGAAAATGCCCAAAGTCATACAGTTCGTAAGTAACTAAATGTGATTTGGATCAGGATTGTCATATTCCAAAAATCTGTTTTTGACCCAACATGCTATACTACAAATGTTCTTTTGTATTCTCTTATTTTTTCTTTCTTCTTTTTAAGAGACGAGGTCTTGCTCTGTCACTTGGACTGAAGTGCAGTTGAATGATCATAGCTCTCACCGCAGACTCAAAAACTCCTGGGCTCAATCGATTTTTTTTTTTTTTTTTTGAGTCGGAGTCTCACTCTGTCGGCCAGGCTGGAGTGCAGGGGCGTGGCCTCGGCTCACTGCAAGCTCCGCCTTCCAGGTTCACACCATTCTCCTCCAGTTTACCAAGTAGGTGGGATTACAGGCATCCTCCACTATGCCCAGATAATTTCGTATTTTTAGTAGAGACAGGGTTTCACCATGTTGGCCAGGCTGGTCTCGAACTCCTGACCTCAGGCCATCTGCCCACCTTGGCCTCCCAAAGTTCTGGGATTACAGGCGTGAGCCACTGCACCCCACCTCAATCGATTCTTCTGCCTCAGCCTCATAAATAGCTGGGATCCTAGGCACAGGTTACTGTGTCAGGCTCTGCTATTTTCATTTGATATGTAATCATAAATATTTTTATATATTTTTTGGAATATCATTTTTGTCAGCCATGGAATTCTCCACCAAGTTGATGCATAGTTTCTTTTGTTATTGTTTGTTTTTATTCTCACAAATAAAAGTATAGTTAACAAGTTAACATTGCCACACTTATCTTTTCAATTCTGTTAAATTTTGTCGTTAGGATAAATCCCTAGGTATGTATGTTTGATAAAGATTAGGTTTTTAAAAAGTTGTCTTTGTTTCTCATAGGTTTTTTTTTTTTTTTTTTTTTTTTTTTTTTTTATTTCCACTTTGTCACCCAGGCTGGAGTGCAGTGACATGATCTCGGCTCATTGCAGTCTCTACCTCCCAGGTTCAAGTGATTCTCCTGCCTCCGCCTCTCGAGTAGCTGGGATTACAGGCGACAGCACCATGCCCAGCTGATTTTTTTCTTTTTAGTAGAGACAGGGTTTCACCATTTTGGCCAGGCTGGTCTCGAACTCCTGACCTCAGGTGATCCACCTGCCTTGGCCTCCCAAGGTGCTGGGATTACAGGCGACAGCACCATGCCCAGCTGATTTTTTTCTTTTTAGTAGAGACAGGGTTTCCCCATGTTGGCCAGGCTGGTCTCAAACTTCTGACCCCAAGTGATCTGCCCACCTCAGCCTCCTAAAGTGCTGGGATTATGGGTGTGAGCCACCACGCCTGGCCTCTTTCTCATAGGCATTTATTTTACCTAAAAAAAATTTTAATAAGATGTGAAGGACTAGGTATGAACAAAGAAAAAAAGGAAATTTTTTTCCTTGCTACCTGTGGCTACAAGGTTTCCAAACCAAAGGCTCAGCTCTGCCCACAGCAGGTTAAATACTCAGGGCTAAAATTATCCAAAGGCACCAGGACGCTGTGTCTGCTCTGTTGGAACAGACAGCGGTGGAGCTGGAGAAGAGGCAGGAGGGCAGGAGCAGCACACAGACGCTGGAACACAGCTGGTGAGTGAGCACGCCCTTGGGCCCCAGGAGGGTGACCTCTCTAGAAAACCTTTCTAATCTCAAGCCAGCTCTGTACTCCCTTCACAATATTATAGCTTCACCCTAGATAATTCTTATTTTGCATTAAAATCTTGGGTTCCAGCTGGGCACAGTGGCTCATGCCTGTATTCCCAGCACTTTGGGAGGCTGAGGTGGATGGATCACTTGAGGCCAGGAGTTTGAGACCAGCCTGGCCAACATGGCAAGACCCTGTCTCTACTAAAAATACAAAAATTAGCGGGTGTGTTGATGCACATCTATAATCCCAACTATTCGAGAGGCTGAGGCACAAGAATCACTTGAACCTGGGACAGTGAGGTTACAGTGAGATGAGACTGTGCCACTGCACTCCAGCCTGGGCAACAGAATAAGTCTCTGTCTCATAAATAAATAATAAAAACTTGGCTTCCAACTAGTCCAAAGTGGGCATAAACCTGTTTTTATTATTAGGCATAAATTATCTGGGGACAGAATTACATCTAACTTATTTCTGAAATCCTGATCACTACTACCATGTCTGGCACATTGCAAACACACAACAGGTGGTAATTATTATGAGTCTGAGATTCTCAAAGCCATAATCCACTGATGTTTTCCATTAAGACAAGTTACATTGGTAGAAACGATATTAAAATCCTCTCTTTATAGTATTTACATTGAATAAATATTTTTAATCAGAAAATTTCTTTTTATCTTTGCAATGGTTCATAGAAATTAATCTTTCTATGTAAAAAACTAGATAGGGCAGAAATTTTAGTCTTATATATTAGAAAAAAGTAATCATCTTTTTGCAGTAGTTAAGAGCAATCTATCTTTTATTTAGTTGGCAAAAATGTTCAAATGTAAATGCATAGAGATAAATTTTCCTAGCTGTGGTAGATAACTCATCCCTCAGACTTGGAAGTGCAAGAAATGCCAAATAGACTGAAGTGAAGATTAACGTAAGTCTTTGTTTTTTATCCTTGTTTTCACACAGGCAGACAGCTATAATGGAAAATTAGGAATTTGGCCACATTAATGTCTGTTCTATCTCCTTTTGTGGCTGGAAGAGAGGCAGCCGAATGGCCCTCTGGGTGTGGAAGAGGATCAGCTTCCCTATGCTTTTTTCCCTTTCCCTCATTCTGAAATCCATAAAGCATCAGCAGCAAGAACAGCAAAACACAAGTATAACCTGAAAGGATAGTGTATAGTCACGGGAAGAAACGACTTTCAATTACAGTTATTTCATGAAGAAAAACTAATGTTTATATGACTATACTGTAATTAAGATTACAAACTCAAAACCTAATGGGGATGGGTGCAGTGGCTCATGCTTGTAATCTCAGCACTTTGGGAGGTCGAGGTGGGTGGGTCACTTGAGGTCAGGAGTTCAAGACCAGCCTGACCAACATAGTGAAACCCCATCTCTAAATTAACCGGGCATGGTGGCATGCACCTGTAGTCCCAGCTACTCAGGAGGTTGAGGCAGGAGGATAGCTTGAGCCCAGGAGTTCAAGACCAGACTTGTCAACATGGTAAAAAACCCCTCTCTACCAAAAATACAAAAATTAGCTGGTCTCATAATCCAGTCAATAAATAAATAAATAGATTTTTAAAAAAAACTAGCAAGAACTCAAGAAGGACAGATATGACGTTGCCTCCTGATTGTCCCATTAAAGGGGAAGGAAGGTGTGCAGAGGACCTGAGGGAGGAATGTGCTTCTTCAGACCCTACGTCCTGCTTGTTTCTGGTCAGTCTCTGGCCCAGGATCTTAGGTCTGTCATAGATTTAAGAAGCTTTAAGATGCACTTCCCTTAATTTAAATCTGGGTAGAGATCTGTGAATATCCTCAGAAATATGAATATAGAACATGAGTGGGACAGGGGAGGAATTCTTGCCAAAAACAGTTTCTGTAAGATACACATCAGATTTACTTACATTGAAAAGAAGAGCAGGGCCTGGTGTGAATCATTCCACTTGGATCATGCTTAAACTGCAGGGGAGGTGCCTTCTCTTGAGCCCATATTAAAGGGCCTGGGAAATGGGTGTGAAGAATGAGAGGCTTTCGTTGTTATCAGCTGGGTGCTGTGCAAACACAGCAACTGGTATTTCTGTGTAATTACACATGGTAAGAAAGGGAGAGAAATTCAGATTGCATGTAGAAGAGGCTTTTTTTTTTTTTTTTTTTCTCATTACTCTTGAAAAATCAAAGACCACAAAGAAACATGCTAATAGGACTGGAAATCCCCTTGCACTTGTCATTTTGTTTAGTCACTTATCAGGAGTCAGGGGAACAGTAGGCTGGAGGCGGACAGGACCAAGTATTTCCAGATTTAATGCAACCAGTAGACAAGGTAATCAAGAGGAAATGAAAAACTGGAGCCATTTCATTTACTGGGTAGCAGCTGACCTCACTCATCACTGGCAAGAAAAGGCATAGTGTCGCAGAAATGCCGTAGTAGCTGGAGTCAGAAGACGTGAGATTGGCTGGCCGTAGTAGCTCACACTTGCAATCCCAGCACTGTGGGAGGTTGAGGCCAGGAGTTCTAGGCTGTAGTCATCTATGATCCCATCACTGCACACACACACACGCACACACACACAAAGTCTGAGATTGAGCCTTGAACTCTCCCACTCACTGGCATATAGTCTTGGATAAATCCCTCTTACATCGCTGTGAATGATCTGGTTCACCCATCTCAAAGATAAGGACAATGATACCATCAGCAGCAAAAATTTCATAGAGTTTGTTGTAGTAAATGAAATCAGATTAGCAAAGCTAATTTGTTATTATCATTTCAATAAAAAATAGACTCAAATGATTGTGGGAACTGCTCCATCTTTAATATTCACCATTTCAAGCTAGAAAGGTTTCCCCTAAATCGTCTTCCAAACTTGTCCATACTCTAATATTCTTATTTCTCTTTGTAATTGGTTTGCTGAGCAGCTTTCTAATTGCCCATCATTTTTCTAGCCACCTTTAGGGCAGCTGAGATGGCCAAACAGGGAACTGCAGTGTGTGACAGGAGGGGATTTTAAGAACATTAGAGCAGAGGGTATGTATGTGTACTTATTTTTCACAGCTTGTTTTGCTATGCTCATCAGGTGGCTCGTGTCTCTTTGTATTTGTCTACTCAGCATTTTTCCACATAAGTGCTTTGCTATGTAAATCCTGACCAGCAACTACGTACAGTATGTGATGTTACTTAGCTGCTACAAGCAAATCCTTTCCCACATCCTGGAAAAGGCTGACTCTTTAAAAAAAATCAGTATGTGTATTTAAGATATGGAACATGATGTTATAAGATGCACATATACAGTAAAAAGGTCACTATAGTGGAACAAAGCAACATATCCATCATCTCACACAGTTACTCATTTATCCCCCATAACAAGAGCAGCTATAATCTACTCATTTAGAAAAAATCCTAATATAACATACTATTATTGACTATAGTCCTCATATTGTATATTAGATCTTTCCATTTGTTCATCCTATATATTTGCTAATTTGTATGCTTTGGCCTAATATCTTCCTAATTCCTATCCCACACTCCAACCCTGGTAATCACTGTTTTATTCTCTCTATACCTGACTGCTTTAAAAAAAATTCCCAGAAAGCATTTGTGGAGGCTGAGCAAGATGGCTGAATAGAAGCCTCCACCAATAGTCTTCCCTGTGGGAACACCAAATTTAACAACTATCTACACAAAAAGGACCTACATGACAAACAAGCAGGTGCATGATCACAGTACCTGGTTTTAACCTCACATTACTGAAAGAGGCACTGAATAGGATAAGAAAGACAGCCTTAAATTGCTGACGGTGCTCTTCCAGCATTCCTTAGCAGCGGCCACGTGGTACAAAGACAGCCTGTGCATTTGGGGGTGGGAGAGTGCAGCATCTGTGGACTTTGCATTGGAACTCGGTGCTACCTTGTCACAGTGAAAAGCAACATGGGACAGAACTCAGTCAGCACCCATGGAGGGAGCATTTAGACCAGCTCTATCCAGAGTGGGTAGCCTATCCCAGTAGTCAGAACCTGTGTTCTGGCAAGCCTCGCCACTGTGGACTAAAGTGCTCTGGGTCCTAAATAAAGTTGAAAGGTAATCCAGGCCACAAGAACTGCGATTCCTGGGCAAGTCCTGGTGCTGTGCTGGGCTCAGAATCAGATTTGGCAGGCATATGACCCAGTGAGACATCAGCCAGGGTGGTCAAGGGAGTGTGCGTACCACCTCTCCCTGCATCCCAAGGCAGTACACCTCACAGCCCCAGAAGAGAATTCTTTCTTTTGCTTGGGGAGAGGAGAGGGAAGAGTAAAGAGGAGTTTGTCTTACAACTTGGATATCATAGGGGTAGTTTGCAAATATTTTCTCCCATTCTGTGGGTTGTCTCTTCACTTTGTTGACTGTATCCTTTGCTCTACAGAAGCTTTTTAACTTGATATGAGGTTAGTTCATTTTCTAACTCTTTGCCTTTCAAAAATTTCCCCAGATATTTTCAACGAGCTTTTTCAAACATAATAACATTCTCAAAATGTTTCACAGGATCAGTAGTTTGAAGACAATTTTCCCAAGACATGTAGGGCCATCTTTTCAATTTTAATCTCTTCCTGGCTATTAATGTACGCTACTCATTTTCCCTGACCTTTTGCAAGTGTTAGTTGTATGAATAGTACCAGGGGCAAAAAGGCTATTTCTTTCAAGAGCTTGATAATAAGATTTCTCTCTGCCCAATAAATTAAAAATCATGATAGTCTTTGCTGAGGGTCACACTGAGCTGAGAGGTACATCGGGGCGTCTTTAGGAGTTAGCAACATAGCAGAATACATCGAGACCTATGTCAAGAACTACGGAACTGCCGCTTTTGACAGCTGCTTCCCCAACCAGAACCAGATCAGGAACTGCTGGCAGAACTACCCAGACTTCTACCACTGTGAAAAGGTAATGATGGCTGAAGAGAGGGATGTCTCTGTGTGCAAACGGGAGTGGGAATGTGTACAAGTCCCCCAGCTTCATATCCTGGGTCTCAACCTGGGGTGACCACAGAGCAGAAGCCACAATTCCTGGAAGGATGAGAATGGGTTCTGCCCCACCTTTCCTCTGCCCTAAGTCCTTCTCCCAGGGCGATAAAGGGAGACTTGGGTACATAGTGAGCTCATCCTGGGACCCTGAATCATGACTTAACTGATAATAAAAACTTACTGGAAGAGTGGGGAAAAAGTCATAACATGAAGGATTAGAGGAGAGATTTGCAGTTGTCTTAAAGAAATAGGCTACTTTCCTCCTGAGGTAGAGTTCAGCTTCTTCCACTTTTCTGCTGTGTGCACTATGCCAAATGCAGCAAGACATAGAGACATGGATGTGCCTCAACACATCCAGTAAGTTGAGACAAAACCTCAAGTTGCAAATGGATATGAACAGTGTAGTTTCATATGAAATGACATCACTGTAGTTTTATGAAATGACATCATTATGTATGGATATATTCATATGTAGTCAGATTTGTAAAAACTACTTGGAAATGATTCATATTTACCTCAGGATAGTTGTTTAATCTGAGGAGAAAAAAGGTGGTGATGATGAGAGAAAGATGAGGAGAAGAAGCTTTCCTTCTATTTATAGTGTTTTATTTCTTAAAATCTCAAAGAGGCTGGCATAGTGGTGCACACCTGTAATCCCAGCATTTAGGGAGGCCGAGGCAGGGGGATTGCTTGAGACCAGAAGTTCAAGGCTGCAGTGTACTATGATCATGCCACGGCATTCCAGCCTTGGTGCCAAAGCGAGACCCTGTCTCAAAAAAAAAAAAAAAAAAAAATCTGGAAACAAATATGGTAAAATATTAACACCTTATGTGTGGGTACATGAAATCCTTGTTATATTCTGTACCTCTGAAATAGTTTAAAATTTGAAAAACAGCTAGTTTTCCAGGAAGTATTAACATACCTAAAGAATGAGCTAATTAAAACTGGTGGCAGAAGGTCAGAGAAGTGACCCTTGTAGTATCCATTCATGCATTTCTTGGGCAAATACTCAAGTCTAAAGCCTCATTTACAGTATCTCTGTTGGGAAGATGACCAGACACCCCCATCTACGTTCCTTTATTTATAATTTAGGCTTGAGCACAAATCTGACTACTAGAAGAGAAAGTATTCCTCAAGAAATTACGGAAGCCCAGCAACAGTTCTATTACTTGTCCTTAAAAATGGTGTTGCATTCTGATTTTATTAACAAAAAAGTTTATTCTCAGCCTAATGCCAAAATCTGTGTTTGAGTTTACAAAACTGAGAGTCAGAATGCCATTTTCTCTCTCATTTTCATTTTGGATTTGGTGAAGATTTTCCAGCTCCTAAGACCTGATTGTTCCTAGTAGACAGATACATTATATTTGGTTGTTTATGTTTTCGTTTTCTTCTTTTATCCCTAATCTGATCTCCTTGAGGGCAAGAATGCTTCTTTCTATTTTATTCTCCTCTGAGAGTTCAATGCACGTTTGGTGAAAAAATAGTGTCTCAAAACTTTTTATTTAATTTGAGTTATCTGAGCTTTCGGTGGTGCTAATTTGCATGGTCTAAACCATTTAGTAACAAATAAAACAACCGCTATTATCAGCATGGTTTTAAAAAAGTGTGTACCTTACCAAAGTAGCAAGCTAATAAGACATGGTATATTCATCACACAATGATAAAAAATATTTTTTAATTTTAATTTTTAGAGACAGAGTCTCAGTCTGTTGCCTAGGCTGGAGTGCAGTGACACAGTCATAACTCCCTGTAACTTCCTTCCAACTCCTAAGCTCAAGCGATCCTCCTGCCTTGGCCTCCCTACATGCTGGGATTATAGGCTTGAACCACCACACCTGGCCACAATGATATAAATTTGACTTTGGACCTCCAAGTATCAATTCTTCCTTTTTTCTTTCTTTTTTTTTTTTTTGAGACGGTGTCTCACTGTCACCCAGGCTGGAGTACAATAGCGTGATCTCAGCTCACTGCAACCTCCGCCTCCCGGTTTCAAGTGATTCTCCTGCCTCGGCCTCCCTAGTAGCTGGGATTACAGGGTCATGCCACCACACCTGGATAATTTTTGTATTTTTAGTAGAGATTGGGTTTCACCATATTGGCCAAGGTGATCTCGAACTCCTGACCTCTAGTGATCTGCCCGTCTTGGCTCCCCAAAGTGCTGGGATTACAGGCGTGAGCCACCACACCCGGCCATTTTTGTATTTTTAGTAGAGACAGGGTTTCACCATGTTCGTCAGGCTGGTCTCGAACTCTTGGCCTCAGGTGATCCACCTGCCTTGGTCTCCCAAAGTGCTGGGATTACAGGCTCACCTGAACCACCATGCCTGGCCTGAAGTATCAACCCTTAATGTTCTACAGTTCATTAAATTTTTGACACTGGAAGGTCCTAAGAATTTCCCCTCAGGGTCACTTTTATTTAATTGTTGAGAAAACAAAGTTGGCATGGTTTCAGTAATATTTTCAAACTGATCTAAACCACTAGAGTTGAATTAGAATCTGTTTCCTGACTTGGTGTTATAGTGCTTTTCCGGAGTCTGTTACCTTGGCAGTTTGTTTTATACATATCTAAGATTTTGAAGACATGTTCAAGATGGCGTTGTGGTTCCTGAAGGACAGGGGTATGTCTTATCTGTCTTTGTATAGCCAGCATTTAGCATTGTGCCAGGCCCAGAGCTAGCATTTTTCAAGCAAAAGGTTTAGTGAATGGCTTTCCTGGGTAACTTTGGGAAAAACGTCATCTTAATTCTCACTTTCCTTAATTCTCACTTAATTCTCACTTTCCTAAGAATTAATTTCCATCTTAATTCTCACTCTGCTTATACTACAGATTGGTTTTGATGATTGAATGAGATAATTGTGCCAAAAAGCCACTGAAAATTGAAAAGTTAAATAGATTTACTTTTTTCATAGTTAGGACATTTAATAGTGGCTACATCTGACATGTCATTACATTTTCTTTCTTTCTTTTTTTTTTTAAAGTAAGCTCTGATACTTGTTTTTAAAAAGTTTTTAAAAATAGAGATGAGCAACAAATAGAGCTCAGATGTTGCTCAGGCTGGTCTCAAATGCTGGGTCTCAGGGGATCCTCCCACCTCAGCCTCCCAAAGTGCTGGGATTTACAGGCATAAGCCACCTCACCTGGCCTTTTTTTTTTTACTTTTATTTTAGGCTTGAGGGTACATGTACAGGTTTGTTAGGTAAATTGCATGTCACAGGGGTTTGGTGTATGGATTATTTCATCACTAAGGTAATAAGCATAGTACTTGATAGGTAGTTTTATGATCCTCAAAAATATGAAATGCTTCACAAATTTGCATATGTGTTTACATTTCTTTAAATTGTAATATTAGCTAACTTAGAATTTACTAATCAGTTTAGTTTAGTCTCTAATAACTATATCATAGGTTAATATTTGTGTAATATAGTAGTTAATATTCACTGATATATAACCAATATTTATTTAACAACTCCATGAGTATTTTTTGCTTATTTACTTACATATACTTAACTTTTGGTCTTACCTTTAATATTGAAATAGCCACCTACAGTATAGTTAAGATGAGGGTGAAGACCTTGGCATACGTGAAGATATACTGCACTTTGTTCCCCCACTTCAAACTTAGGCAGTTAATAAATAGAGAAAATGAATATAGTAAGTGAAATGTTACATTATGCTAATTACATCACAGGAACACATTATTCCAAGAATCAGTGTTCATGGAAAACTTTAAATAGGACAAAAGTCTATTGTTTAAAAAATAAAACTCTTAAATCTATGTTTAAAAAGATGAAACTACGTTTTATATGCTAAAGAAATAGATTTTGCATAGTAGTTCTTAAACTTATCTATTTAGTTTATCTTTCCTACCCTTCCCTACCCTATGATTAGAGTGGCTCCATGAGCTCTGAAAATTTTCTTAAAGGAGATCTCAGAGTTAGGTCCAAAGGCCTGAGCTGAACCACAGCAGGCTTCGCTTCTACTTATGTGGAGAAAACTAAGGCTACCTTGTATTTAATACAACTCCAGGCGCGCCATTCACATAGAAAACAGCTCTTATTTCTCTGTTGCCATGCCTTTGCTCCTGACCACTTCCCACTGTTAGATTGCTCACTCTGCTCATGAAATGCTCTCTTGTATATATCCTAATATTTCTTGTTTGTCAAAATCCAATCTTTAAGTCACCTTCTCTAAGAAACTGTTTCTTAAAAGTAATTCATATATTCTCTGTCTCACCTTTGAAATATTACAGTACTTGTTCATACATTTCTGATGGAATATTATTTTTGCTTAAGCTATGTATATGTGTCTTAGCTCATTGAGCAAGACTTTATTTTTATATTCCCACAGTTTTTAGCATATGGATGATTCATAATGAAATGCAATGGAACAGAAATAAACTATCAAGATTTAGATTCTCATTTTAGGTTCATCACCCACTAACTATAAACCATTAGTGACGAATGAACCTGAAGTGACCAATTATTTTTTATAAAATTTAATTCAAATAAAATTCCAAATAAAATTTGTAATTAAAATAATCTGCAATAAATGAATACAACTTTCAGGGTGATAAAAGGCTCTAAGTTAAAAAATTGAATATTACTAGAAGTAGAAACAGCTACTTCCCACAATTAGATTGGCTCACAGCTCAATTTAAAATATTAGGTTGATAGGACTTTAAAAATAGCCTATGGGCTGGGTTCAATGGCTTATGCTTGTAGTCCTAGCATTTTGGGAGGCCAAGACAGGTAGATTGCTTGAGGTCAGGAGTTTGAGACCAGCCTGACCAACATGGCAAAACCCTGTCCCTACTTAAAAAAAAAAAAAAAAAAATAGCCTGATGTGGTGATGCATGTCTGTAGTCCCAGCTACTTGGGTACTTGGGAGGCTAGGACATTAGAATTGCTTGCCATTAGGAGGCAGAGATTGTAGTGAGCTGAGATTGCACCACTGCACGCCAGCCTGGGCGACAGAGCGAGACTCTTGTCTAAAAAAAACAAAAACAAAAAGCCTATGAAATCTCCTTGATTAGAGTCTGAAGGGAAAAGTACTACATTCATAGGCAAGTGGCCAGGATCCAATTCACTGCCTCATATGGGGACTCACAGTCCGGTCAAAGTGGTGTGATGACATATTTTATAAATTTGATTGATTGCCTTTATGACATGTCCTGTTGGCTCAGTGAGGAGTAAAGACGACCAAGGTTGGGTGGAGAGAATTAATCCACTGAAGGCTTCCATGATGTATGTACTGCTTGCTCCTGACTTCGGAATGAGCTTCCTGGCTCTGCATAACGTAAAGCCCCAAACAGTGAAAAAAAATCCAGCAATGGCCAAATAATCAGGGAAAGCCCGTAAGAGGCATTATGCATCAGAACTCCCTTGACAGACACAAATACACCTGAGCCAACCATATGCCCCACGTGAGACAGAAACCATTCAATAAAGTGGTGTTCTGCTTCATTTGGACTTTTTCTTCTTGGTTCTCGTCTTGCTTGCCTTCTGCTGGTTCTCCATCACTGGATGTGGCACATTCACCACGGCATTATAGCAAAAAGACCAGTCATCTTGTGTTGAAATCACACCTGTGGGTTTTGAGAAGAAAGGAAATGCTATTAATAAGACCGCACAAGAAGTGGTGAAAACATTTCCTGGCAACTCTCAAACCAACAGT